GTCTGAAATAGACGACGTTCGTCTATAGTGCGGCCACACATTTCTACAGTCTTGCTCACACGAGGGGCCCAGCGATATCTCTCTCTTTTACGAGAGGTACAAATCCCGTCTTGACTATCTACAATCCAGTACATGATTCGTTTCGTACCTGATACACGCCTTTATAGTCCTCCTATTACGCAGGACGTTTGACGTAATCAAAGCCGCAACTCCTCATGTTGGATTCTGTAGATATCCCAGGTCTTAGGATCCAATCATGGAACCACCATATGAGATTCAAGTCATGACGCTAGTCCATGTGACAATCTCATGCGGGTCAATCCAGTATTCCGTTCTCCAACGAATACCTATGATTGTGATCGTATCCAATACCTATGATCATCTATGTGATCATCAATCACACATCATACTAGTCTTATTATGTCGTTATTCCCATAATGACACAAGACTAGGGAGTTTAGTATCATTCATAATGATACATGGATTTCATAACAGATCTAGCATGCAAGAACATGTAATGAATAAAATACTCTCATAAAACCACATAGAAAGTATCAATACATCGAATGTATCTGAACAAAGCTCATAAACAGTACATCATAGAGCACTAAACCAACAATCTCCCACTTGCTCTAATCATGAACTGCTAAACATTTTGGAAAGTCTATATAAGGAGAATGTCTTCTAGGGTTTTTAGGTGAAGAAAAAAAAAGAAGAAAAAAAGAAGAAAAATAAAACCCTAAGCCTCCAAAAACCTTGCACACAAGAGAGATCGAGGTCTCTAGTCCTAGCAGACAAGTTCCAAGGTGTTGGAATCCATCCCGACGTGTGGATACGTGTAGAGGGCGAGGTATTCTTCCTGCCTAGAGTGATCGGACGAACAGATCAATTGATACAGGCCCCGGATCGATTGAGGTAAGCGTTCTAACGTTTCTATGATTCAATAGTAGCATGTTTCTAGGGTTTCATTAAAATTTTGGTTTTATATCCGCTGCGCAAACCCTAGAATCGATCTCTTAGGAATTAGATTCGTTCATGAGATCCCAGGAAACCCAACACAAAACACATACGAATCCCTAACCCATAGTCGTGGATCTACTCACGGTTCGTAGAAAACAACAAAAAGCTCATAAAGAAAGAGATAAAAGAGAGGAAAGAAAGTCTCATGCAGATGTGTAGTCTCTACGATCGAATCTTCTTCTTCTTCCCGAAATCTTGTGAACTTCGTATTCTTCTCTCACCAAAAGCTCTCCAAATATCTGTATCTAGGTGTTCTCTAAGGCTCTCTCCTGTTCTGGGACGTGGCTAGGGCTTTTTTATAACCCTAGGGCGGCTCCCAAGAATCCTATTCCCATTCTGGTGCTGAAAATCGCGAAACAGGATTTTAGACTGGACCCGGACCGATTCCAGGTGGATCCGGACCGGATCCAGATTCCTGGGGTCGAGTTCTGCGTTCCGGACTCGGACCGGATCCAATTGGATCCGGCCCTGCACTGGCAGTTTTCTGGTCTTTGCGATTTCGCTCATAACTTTCTGCTCCAGTGTCGGATTTACGCGATTTTGGTGTCTACGCGAAGCTCTTGAAGTGCTCTTTCCAATGTACAATTTCGCACGATTTGGACCTCTGTGGAGAAAGATATTGATGTTGCAACATGAGTACCTCATCCGGACTTCTCCTTTAACGCTCCAAATGGCTCCTTTTCGAGTCCAATCATCTTCGAAACCTGTAAT